CCCTCGCCCGCGGCCCCGAGCACCTGGTCCGGCACTCGGGCCCCACGACCGCCGGCCCCGACCCAATAAAGAGCGCGTGGCAGCCCTGGCTCCTGCTAGCTCTGTCAGGTGTCTGGCGCGGGAGCGAGACAGGGATGAACAGCTTGCGCAATGGCCACAGCGGGAGCCAACTGTTTTTCCCTCCTTGTGACCCAAAAGTTAGAGCCCTGACCCTGGGGAGGGGACACCCTACCGCAGTGGAAAAGGGAGGATGATCCTTCCCCCAACTCAAGGCCTGGGTCAGACCTTGGCCGGTCTGCAGACCCAAGGGAGGTGAGCTCGAGCAAGCCCAGGGTTGGCCACACCAGGAGGGGCTGGCTTCAGCTGAGCATGGCACCGCCAAGAGCCCAGATCCACAAGTCCTCCTTAGGCAGAGCCGCGGTCCCAGGCAAACAGCCACCACCGGGGAGAACTGTGGGGGTCCTGCTGTCAGCAGAGTTGGGGCCTGAGGCACATCCTGCCGGCGGGGGCGCAGGAGAGGCGCTTGGGAGCTTGGTCTCCCCACCTACCGGATTCCATCCTCTCTCCACATTGCAGCCAACGGCTTCTTCAGAATCACTTACTACCTGTCGGGCAGTTCACTTTGCTCATGAGCTCGCACTGGCTCTCCACTGCCCACAGGGAAACACCCAAACCTGTTATGGGATTCGCAAGCCCGACCCCCAACCTACCTTCCTCTCTCGGGCTCCTCGGTGACTTCTCCCCTCACCCCGCTCGGGCTATACTGCCACTTGTGGGCTCCAATTTGAGGCTCACCTCCCTAATTCACCCACAAGAGCCCCAGCACATTTGCTGTCTGCAGCTGCTTCTCTTCACTGTCTTGGTCCCAAACCCAGCTCCAGAGCCTAGAGCCTCCCGGCCCTTCGAATCTGCAGCCCGCTTTCCACTGGCAACCAACCTCAGAATGGCTTTTGGGGCAGACGCAGCAGGTGAAGGTCCCAGCTCACGAAAGCCACAGGTCCAGCTTCTGCTGAAGATGTGCTTTTGTTACTGTCAGCGTCTCCTCCTGTTGCCTGCATCATGCTGGAGGTTTCATGACCCATAGCATCTCCCCTGCTGCAAGAACTGGCCCTTCCCTACCATTCACATAATTACAACCAGAGTAACCAAGTTCCTCAATGTGACTACACCTCCCGGCCATGGCCATGGGCCCTATCAGCCCCTTCCCTGGGACAGTAGTTCAGGGGCTATAAGAGACTATTTTCTACATGAACATGCATGGGCTGAAGCCAATCTTCAGAAGAATAAAAACACAAACAGTGCACATGCTGGGTTCCCTGCAGTTAGGCCCTGCTCCCAGTCTGCTCCTGAAACCTGATTTCACCCTTGCCTTTGGTATCCATCATACGTACAAGATCCTTGAAATAAAATCCTGATTTTAGCTTACACTCTATGCCGATCGGGTGTCCGCACTAAGTTCGGCATCAACATGGTGACCTCCCGGGAGCGGGGGGCCACCAGGTTGCCTAAGGAGGGGTGAACCGGCCCAGGTCGGAGACGGAGCAGGTCAAAGCTCCCGTGCTGATCAGTAGTGGGATCGCGCCTGTGAATAGCCACTGCACTCCAGCCTGGGCAACATAGCGAGATATTTTCTTCAACTTGCAACCAAAATGGTCCTAAAGAGAATGAGACTCTGCAGAGACCAGAAGTGGCCTCTTTCCTGTGTATGAAGGTTTCTACCTTTTGGAGGAAGAAACTGAGCTCAGAAAGATTAGGACTTGCCTGCACAGTGAGTCAGCTTCAGAACTGAGTCACAAACTCAGGCCCACATGAGTCCATAGGTGGGAGTCCCTGAGGGCAGTCCCTCTGTGGGCTGCCTGGGCCCAAGGATGAGCACAGATACTCCAGGGTGGCTGTAGATGTGTGATTAAGAGCTTTCTCTTCCGCACTGGAAGGGGAGGAGCCCTACATTTGGCCAGAGTAGATCTGGTCATCCGAAGTGGTTTGGGGAAAGAATCTGGTTGTGCTGGGCAGTTGCAGACAGACCCCTAGATGCCCAATTCACTGCCCTTGAGCCTGTTCCAGGAGAAAGGATGGGTCCAGGGTGTTTTCACTGGGGGGAGGGGGCTGCGGAAGCACAGCAGGGGCTGAGGACTGAGGTCACAATTAGTCGGATCCAAGTTCTTTTCCTTCTCTGATGACCCCTCCCATCTCCACAACCAGGAACTACTGCCGTCAAGCCCAGGTGAGAGGCCCGAGACACTGCCTGGGGCTGGACTCCTGGGTTCTCAAGGAGCCAAGAGCTGAAAAGAGACATCCACTCTGGGCAGAAAAAAGCGGTGCCAGAAATTGAGAAAGTAGTTATCTAGTCCATTAAGGTAGGGATTTAGTCCCAGGGGACAGTTAAGAGCTGAAAGGCGGGCCTTCATCTAGGCCAGTGGGGACAGAACTGCCTCTGGGAGCACAGCTAAGCCCAGAAGGTGGCGTCGGTGTTGGGGAGGCGCCAGGCCCGGCCGCCCGCACTGGGCCGCATCGCAGTGGTGGTGGACCAGGGATCGGGGTTCACCAAGGCGGGCTTCGCGGGTGAGAACCAGCCACGTCTGGTGCTGAAGAGCTCCAGCCTAGTGCCCACCTGGGACCAGCCCGTGCTGCCCGGGGCGCTGGGCTGTGAGCGGGTGGGTGGCGTGGAGCGGGCGCACCCCATCAAGCATGGCATGGTGGTGGACTGGGAGGCGCTGGAGGGCCTCTGGGAGCGCCTGCTGGTAGGCGGTCTGCGGGTGTGCCCAGAGCAGTGGCCGGTGCTGGTGAGCGACTCGCCCTCGGCACCACCCTCAAGCCGCGAGAGGATAGCGGAGCTGCTGTTCGAGGACCTGGCAGTGCCCGCGTGCCACATGGCCAGCACTGCGCTGCTGGCTGTCTGCTCCACCGGCGCTTTCAGCGGGCTGGCTGTGGAGGCAGGAGCGGGGGTGTGCCACGCCACGCCAATCTACGCAGGCCACTCGTGGCACGAGGCCACCTTCCGGCTGGAGGTGGCAGGCACCACCCTCTCGCGCTACCTGCGGGATCTGCTGGTGGCAGCGTGCCCTCATCCACTGCTGCAGGCCCTCCCCCGAAAGGCCGTCACTCAGCTCAAGAAGCGCTGCTGCTAC